ACCAAAGATTTGGATGGCATCAAAGACCTACCATCAAGACTTCTTTTTTTTTCAAACACTCAAAGTATAAAGAGGCACATAATTGAATAATTCATTAATTGCCTTTTGCAGGGGCCTGCAGGCCAGGATTCCATTTTTAAATATACAGGATAATTACTGATGCTTGGCGCCTTTTGGTAGATATTTTCCTCTAAAATGTTTGCAGTCTGAATTTTTGAAAATGGAACCCATATTGGCGGAGCCCAGAAAAGGTGGTCTGAGAGAGCTCGGCTCTCAGGCTCAGTTTATTCAGCGAAAAACCCTTTTGTGGAATGAATAATCTCATCGGCGTCCCATTTCCTGCGCTGGGTTTCCTGAACTCATTTGACAGGAACTGTTTCTACTGGAGATATGTCAGGCTGGATTGGAACGGAAGCTCTGCAGGAGTCAGCATCTGAGTCTGCACGGCCTGGGTGACCCTCGGTCAGCCGAGGAGACTGCTTCCAGCCCCTCAGTCTCTAGGTGGGTTTCCCAGCCGGTCCAGGAGGCTGTGGGAGAGAAGGAAATGAAGGGGGCTGCGGAGATTTTTGCTCCCCACTGCCCCGCGGCTCTCCGGCATTTATAATCGCTGCAGCACTGTCGTGTGTGACATTTCCCCCCCTTTCTCCTGCTATTTCACTGCACTCGCTCATTTTATTGAGGGAATGATGGATTGGGGAAATGAGGCAGCTGGTGGAAAGCGGGAGACTTCTGGTTTAACTCCTCATCTGCTGGGGCTGACGGAGCCTTGACTGACACTGGCTCAGCTTTAGGGGCGGCTGGGGGCAGCAGCAGGGACAGACAGCCCTGGCTGGCAGAATGGGACCTTGTTTTAGAAATGGGGCTGGGCATCACCCCAAACCCTATCAAGTTCTCTGTGAACTCCCAGGAACCTTGTGTCCGAGGGTCCCCCACTCCCACCCCACCCACTGGTGCTTGCAGGACCTGGGGGTTATCCCTGTGGTGTGGGCCCAGGGCAGGCAGCTCAGACTGAGATGCAGTGATTGCAGTGATGGTGGGCTCTGTGCAGAGCCTCCAGCAGCCCTCCTGGGCCCTCGGATTCTTCTCAAGTGCAGGTGTGGGTGGACGGCTTGGTAAGTTCAGACACCAGGAAGATGATGGCAAGAAGGCTGGAGGATTCCGGGACAAAACTGGAGCCCCCAGGCTCTGGCCAGGGACACTGCAATTCAGCTTTGTTAACTTTTTATTTGTCTAGGGGCCACATCCAGCAGTGTTGGGGAGGGGGGGGGGGGGTGGATTGTTCCCTGTGGTGCCCAGGGAGAGGGTATGTGCTGGAGGTCAAAGCAAGGCTGCCCACATGCAAAGTATGTACTCATCCCTCAGCCTGTTAAGTTCAGAGCTCTCTCTCTCTCTCTCTCTCTGTTTCTCTCTCTCCTCTCTCTCCTTTCTCGTTCTCTCCTTCTCTCTCTGTCTCTCTGTCTCTCTGTCTCTCTCTCTCTCTCTCTCGCCCCTATTTTTTTTTGTACGTGTATGTGAGTCTCCTGCCCCCATGCCTGGCTGTCCTCACCGGGGCCCCTTGGAGGGGGGAGGGTTGAGTTTCTCTCCCCCCACCCCCCGGGCCCCGAGCAGAGCCCCAGCAGCTGAGGACCTCCGGAGCCAGCCACGACCATGCTGGGACCACTCTCCACACATCCAGACAGGCCTCATGCATGAAAGAACTGGCAGAGGAACCCAGGCATGCGGGTCCCAGGGCTGAGGTCTCCAAGCCTACTCGGATTGGGACTGGGCCTTCTCCACCCAGACCCCCCATCTTCCAGTAGGTAGGCGTCACACCCACCAGCTGCCGCCAGCACCAGGTTGGTCCCATCAACGGCCAAGACGCAGAGACTATAAAACCCAGCTCCCGGGAGTGTCCTGCCCACACGGCAGAGTCTGGCAAACTCCCTGTGTCATACTCAATGTGCCAAATACCAGTAACAAATGATTGGTCTCGTTCTCCTAATCTTGAAAGAGCATTGAAATGGCTCTTTTAAAATCTCAGGGCTAGGAAGAAGGAGACGTTACTGGTGCCTGCTCGAGGAAAACGACGAACAACAGGGTGATCATGATCGTGATCGTTTGTGAGGGTGAGGGTTGGGCCACACTCAGCTGCTCAGGGCATACCCTGGCTCTGTGGTCAGGGGCCACTCCTAGAAGTACACAAGGGACCATCTGTGGTGCCAGGAGGGTGTTGAACCTGAGTTGGCCACCCTCTGTGTCTTCTCTCCACCCCCATGATTCAGTGCTCTGACCTGGAACCTGGCAATACTCTTAGTGCTGTACAGCCCAGAACATGTCAGCACGCTAAGCTTAGACTTCCCCACGTAAAGAGTGGCCAGGAGGGGCTGGAGCAATAGCACAGCAGGTGGGGCATTTGCCTTGAATGTGGCCGATCCAGGTTCAATCCCTGGCATCCCATATGGTCCCCCAAGCACTACCAGGAGTGATTTCGGAGAGCAGAGCCAGGAGTAAGCCCTGAGCATTGCTGGGTGAGGCCCCCATCCCCCACCCCCCTAAAGAAGAGGTGTCAGGAACTAGAGGGAACACTCAGCAGGCTTGAGTGGGTACCTTCCATGTAGGAGGTCTGGGCTCAAACCCTGTCACCCTGGGCTCAGCCCGGGAGACCATGGAGCCGGCCGCCTCCCTGGGCATGACCTTTCTGGAAACATCTGCCACAAGTAATTGCAGCATAGGCCTGTCCTTTGACATACTGGCAGATGCCATCCAGCAGGGACACATCAAGCCTGAGGAGGATGGGGCGGGGGGTCATGCAGCTCCCCCAGCCCCACTGCAGACAGCAGCAGCCAGGCCACTGCTAGGGTGGACTCCCGGAGGGAAAGAGCCATGCAGCCTTGCCCTCAGAATTACTAGTGGTGAGGGCTGGAGCGATAGCACAGCGGGAAGGGCATTTGCCTTGCACGTGGCCAACCCAAGTTCGATTCCCAGCATCCCATATGGTCCCCCGAGCACTACCAGGAGTAATTCCTGAGTGCAGAGCCAGAAATAGCCCCTGTGCATGGCCGGGTGTGACCCAAAAAGAAAAAGAAAAAAAAGACTAGTGGGGTGGAGAAAGTTGGTAATTTTGGAAGGCGGATGGCAAAATGTGTTCAGTTTTAATAAATAAACAATTTCTTGACATTAAAAAAGCTAGGTGGGGGCTGGAGTGATAGCACAGCAGGTAGGGTATTTGCCTTGCACGCAGCCAACCCGGGTTCGATTCCCAGCATCCCATATGGTCCCCTGAGCACCGCCAGGAGTAACTCCTGAGTGCAGAGCCAGGAGGAACCCCTAAAGGCTCCCCTAAACCAAATAAATAATAACATAAGTCTGGAGAGAATAGTACAGTAGGTGTTGGCCTTATACAGAACTGACGGCTGTTCAAATCCCTGTACCACCTGAGTACCACCAACTGATCCCTGAGCAGAGTCAGAAAGAAGACCACTGCCAGGAGTGCCTCCCCCATCAAAAATGTCTTCTAGTAATTTAAAGACAATGAGGGGATGTATTGTCACCTCCCCCTTAAGTGCTAAATTATGGTGGAACAAGAGGCAATGGCTTAGGAGTCAGATGCTACAGGATTTTCCCTTTTTAAAAAAATCTTTACTGAATGCTACTTGCTAAACTAAAGCTTCTTTAGACATTGTATGTGACGTGTTCAGGACCTTTGTAAAGTTGTCTTTTTCCCACAGTGTCGGAGGCCTGTGGGAGCCCCGGCTGCTGGCCCACCCCCAGTGCTGGGCAAGGGGGAAAGCAGGCTGAGAGGGTGGGAGGGGACCAGAGTCCCCCGGCTGTCCCCAGCTGCCTCCTTGCTGCAGGCTGATGTGTTCCTGGGGCTGGCTCTGTGCGCTCGCTCGCTCGCTCGCATCTGTGGCAGTGGAATTGGCTTTGAAGGGCGGCGGGAGAGCGGGTCGCAGAGCCCTGCGGCGAAGTCTTTTGTACAGTGAAAATCCTTTTGTCAGGTGAATAATGATGTTCTCTTCATCTGCTTTGGAGGTTTGCAGTGTGCTGAGATTCCCAGGGGAAAGGGATTTATCTGAAGGCCATCTGGCCCGCCCCTTTCCACCACCCAGTGTTCTAGAGCTTCCCCTCCAAGGGAGGCGAAGCCCCCACCCCCACCCCTGTCCCTTTCGGAACCGTTCACTGATGGGGAGGAAACTCATAGCACCCCAGATGGATTTTTCCCTCTTTCGATGGCTCCGCTCAGGAGAAGTGGAAACTTATCCCCAGGTAAATCTGTCTCTGAAGTTTCCAGCCATGGCGCCTTCCCTTGCTGGGTCCGCCTGCCTGGGTTGACTCTCACTTGATACTTGGCCATTAGGAACTTGACCCGAGTCACTTTTCTTTTTCGGCCGGTGGGGGAGGAAGGGTGGCCTTCCTGGTGGTGCTCAGGGGCTCCCAGCTGTGCTCTGGGGAAGACATGCCAGGAATCCGGCCCGGGCTTTGCAAGTGCTCACATCTCTAAGTGCTCACATCTCTAATGTCCTGCTTCTTCTTTTGCTGCTTCCTTGACAGGTTTTTGAGACCTTTTCTTTTTCTTTCTTTCCTGTGTATGGGGGGGGGGGGGCGGGAGGGGGCTTTGGGGCCACACCCAGCAGTGCTCAGGTCAGGGCTAGCTCCTGGTGGTGCTCCAGGAACCATGCCATGCTGGAAGTCAAACCTGGGCCTCCTGCATGCCAAGCATGTGCTTCAGACAAGTGATCTTGGCAGTCTGAGGGAGATGGTTTCAGTGGGCCGGAGCTCTGCCTCAGTGAGCTAGCCGAGTGTCACATGCAGGAAGTCCTCCGGGTTCGTTCCCTGGCACGCAGTGTCTCCTGAGTAAGCCAGGAACCACCCCCAAACCCCAGGGCTGATACAGCCCTGAGCAATCGCTGATACAGCCCCCTCCCTGCAAATGCATATAAATAGATAAATCTATGTCAGGTTTCCTTAAGCTCAGGACACCTGTGTGATCGGCGACTGATGAAACTCTCCTTTTTTTCTAGAACTGGTCGGGCATGAAGTGCCAGTTTAAGCTACTTCGGATGGCTGTGGCCTTGATCTGTAGTAAGTACTGAGCGGGCAGTAAGATCACTGGGGACGGGAGCGGGCTTTGGGTTGTGCGGATGGCCCGCCTCGCCTGTCCGGGGCAAGTGGGGAGCAGAGGGGCAGCTTGCCAGTGTGTGTAACCATTACTGCTGCTTAGTGTTCCCTCAGCCTCCTACTGACAGGGAATATGCCAGTAGAATCCTGCATGCAGGGGCTGGCCCACTCCATGACTGGCACCTCAGTCAAGAAAAGTGACTTCTCCAAAACCTTTGGGACTTGGGAGTTGATGCTTTTTTTTTTCTTCTTGGGTCACACCCAGCGATGTACAGGGGTTACTCCTGGCTCTGCACTCAGGAATTATTCCTGGTGGTGCTGGGGGACCATACGGGATCCTGCCTGGGAATCAAACCCGGGTTGGCTGCATGCAAGGCAAACACCCTACTCGCTATGCTACTGATCCAGCCCCGGGACTTGATCCTTTGAAATCCCCCTATTGTAAGCTACAGATCCTTTCCCGAAATGGAATCTGGAAGGTGACTCAGTGGCTTAAGCACTTGCTTGGCAAGCTTGTGGCCACAAGTTCAACCACAGGACTAAGGTGCCCTGATAGTCCCTTCATGTGGGATCCCACGCTAGAAGGGAAAAAAATACAAGGTCATCTATGTACATACGCACACATACACACACACACACACACACACACACACAGTCTCTGTCTCTCTGTCTTTGTCTCTGTCTCTGTCTCTCTCTTTCTCTCTCTCTCTCTCTCTCACACACACACACACGCACACACACGCACACACGGCATGTGGTTTTAGCAGGCTCGCAAAATGAGCAGATCCTTCACCTAGGAGCAGGGTGTAGCGGGGACACCCCTCCCCCACCCTGGAGAAGTCCGTTCTCCCTGCAGAGCTCAGAGTGTTGAAGACAAGCAGGAGTTCACCATGGCGACGAGGTTCCAGAGGGCATCTCTGGCAGAGGTGCTGCATACATCACGATTTGGATAGGAAAGGAGTCTTGTCTGTCTGGCAAGGGGGCGCACAAATCTGACAGGCAGTTTGGAACTCTGCGGTGGTGATGAGCCATAACGAGTCGTGTCCTGAAAGGCTAGAAATTCAAGGAGAGCATGGCGACTTCATCCTGAACACCTGGGAGGCCGCCGGGGGGCCTTTGACGGATCTGAGTTGAAAGAAAGCAGCCAGGTGGCAGTGCTCTGAGGATGAGTTGAGTGGAGAGGGGATGGGAATGACACCGTGACCAAGAGGCAGGGCCTGAGGCCAGAGCATTATGTGAATGTTTGAACCTGGGCTGGCCGCATGCAAGGCAAACTCTCTACTCACTGGACTATCCTTCCGACCCCTATTTGTGTTGTTTCTAATGCCTGCATTTTAGCCAAGCTAGGTGGGTAAATGCTTGTGAGATGGCAGTGCTGGTACGGCGCTTGCCTTGCGTGTGACCAACTTGGGTCCAAAAACAAGAAAAGAGAAGGCACAGTTTGAGCTAGAGAGAGGGCAGAGTTGGAATGGAAGCAGGAAGCAGTGGAGGGAGGAATTCACTCCCCCCTCCTTTTTTTTTTTTTTTTTTTTTTTGCCACATTCTGCAGTTTTTAAGCCTTACTCCTGACCCTGTGGTCTGGGATCACTCCTAAGAAGGCTCAGGATCAAACATTAATGCTAATGTTTGAACCTAGATTGGCCGCATGCAAGGCAAACTCTCTACTCGTTTTATCCTTCCGGCCTCTATTTGTGTTGTTACTAATCCCTGCCTTTTAGCCAAGCTAGGCAGGAACTTTCTGGGTGCCTGGATCAGCCACTTAGTGTGCCGAGAAGAGGAAGATTGAGCCAGAGCAAATGTGGCATGGAGCAGGGGCTGTGTGGGCTCCACTCAGCCCATTCCCATGTACCCGGCTCTCTAATCTGGTCTTTCCTGGGTGGTACTGGAGGCTCCCTTAATCCCGACCTTAAAACCACAGACTGAGCCATCACAGATGGGTGCGGTGGGGCAGGGCGTAAACATGACTTCCCTGAGCGACCCCCAAGCACAGAGCTGGCAGTGACCTCTGAGCACTGCCGAGTGTGGTCCTGAAGCTAAAATAAATAGGTGGAAAAACAACTAAAGTCCAACTTTTGGGCTGGGGAGATGGCTCACAGGGCTAGAGCCAGGGTTGGATCGCAGCCCCCCATGGTCCTTTAGCCCTTTTAGGAACTCCTGCAGACACGGAATCAGGAAGTAAGCCTTGAGCGAGCGGACTGTGGGTGCCCCACCCCCAATTCCAGCACCACTGGGTCTGAACTGGACCCTAGCATTGAACTGTACGGTCTGATTAGCCGAGTTTTGCCGGCAGTTACCTCTAGGCCCTCTGAGCACTGCTTGGGAGAGCACCTTCACCAATTTTTTTTCTTAAAAATTCAGTTCTAAGTATCATAAAAACCAAAATGCTATCTGAGAGTGGGGGCCAGTGACTTGGAAACCTCCCGAGTGGACGAGGTCCTGCTCAGCAACGGCAGGAAGGATAGCTCCAGGCCTGGGAAGAGCCGGCAAAGGACTCCGAGTTCTTCCCCAGCTGTAGCTTTTCCGCCATCTGTCGGTGGTCCTTGGAGTTGCACTGGCCCGTGTGGCAGGACCATACCTGGAGGTGCCAGCACCCTTGAGGAGCAGGCCAACTGAGATGGGCGTCAAAGTGCGAGCTGAACCAGTCAAAGTTCCTGTTAAAAGGGCTCGGTTTCTGTCCCTGGGCCATGGGAGGACGAAGCTCGTGGTGCTTTCAGGGGAGAGTCAGAGAAAGGGAGTTTTCCCAGCCTTTTCCCATTTGAGAGGCCGTTTTATTGGTTGAATCCAAGAAAGCCACGCAGAAGGATGGATGGAGAGCAGGCTGGGGCCTCGAAGAATCGATGCCTGCGGCCCATACGGATTGTTAGTTTTCTTTCCTTGTCCTTCTTCCCTGACTCGCCCTTCTCATCTCAGAACCACTGGTTCTGGAGTTAGAGAGCAATAGGACAAGGGTCAAGGCATGTAATTTGCATGTGTCTGACCCTGGTTAAATCCTGTCATCTCATGGGGTCCTCTAAACAGCAGCATGGGTCACTGAATGATACCTGAGCATAGAGCCAGGAATAAGCCTTGAACACTGCCCCCAAACCAAAACAAATGAAAAAGGACTGATTCTGAGGGCTTTCCAAGCATTTTTGAAATAATACGTTAGAAAGTGCCAGAACCTGCGGACATTGTTCTCAGTGTTCCAGTGGTGCTCCCTGGTACAGAAATGCTGAGATTTTACCCAGAGAGGCTGAGCCTGCAGGACTCACACTGCACAGAGACAGTGGGAATGCTGGGCTTTGCCGAAGCTGGGGTGCTCGTTTGAAATTCTCTGAATTTCCATGCCAACTCTTTTTTCCTCATACAAAGAGTCTCTCTCATTGTTCCTAGCTTTGATTTTTTTAAAAATGTTTTTGGGCCACATCCAGTGGTGCCTGGGGCTTTCCCCTGGATCTGTGCTCAAGGATCACTCCTGCTGGACTTGGGTGACCAGATGGGGTACTGGGATCCACTCCACATTGGCCAGGGACAGGAAAGCACCCTGCCCACTGCAGTATTGCTCCAGCCCCGCTGGTTTGTTGGTTTGTTTGGTTTTGGCTGGGGGCCCACACCCAGAGATACTCAGGGCTCACTCCTGCTCTGTGCTCAGGGAGAAGTTAGGCCAGGTGGGACTCCAACCATGCCCGGCCACATGCAAAATCAGCTCTGTACTATCCCGGGCCCCTCCTGGATGTGCTTTCAAACCACCTGCGACTTTTTCCCCGGGAATTTCTCTTGCTGGAATTACCTTGTGTATGTCTCTGGTTTACTTAGTTTATAAACTTGAGAGAACAGAGGCACGTCTATCTGCCCCCTTTGCCTCTCCAGGCAGAAGCAGTGGATGAAGGTTGATAGGGTTGATACCCCTCTCCCTCAGCCCTGCCCCCTATCCTTCCTCTGACGGCTGTTTCTTCCTCTCCCCTCACCCCCACCCCCCCCCCGGCAGTGAGCATGGAGTTCGGGAGAGCTGTGTGGCTGCGCTTCCATCCATCTGCCTATCCCCCGTGCCCTCACCCAAGCTTCGTGGCGCATCTGGGCGGCGTGGCCGTGGGCATCACCCTGGGCGTGGTGGTCCTGAGGAACTACGAGCAGAGGCTGCAGGACCAGTCGCTGTGGTGGATTTTTGTGGCCATGTACACCATCTTCGTGCTGTTCGCCATCTTCTGGAACATCTTTGCCTACACCCTGTTGGACTTAAAGCTGCCGCCGCCCCCCTAAGGGGCACAGGACCGAGGTGGGGACATGGGGAGGAGAGAGAGCTCACTTCCGGCCTAGCCTGCCCAGGGACGCCGGGAGGAGAGCCCAGGAGCCACTGGGCCGCTGCTATAATACGTGTGTTCAGGTTGGATAGAGAGAGGAGGCTCCTATCCCAAAGGTGCCTGCTGAGTTGAATGTGGCCACCGTCGCTTTTTCTTGACTGTTCTGGAAGGCCTGTGGTGGGAGGAGAGTGGCCTTCCCCTTTGGTGGGGCCTGTTCCATCCACGGCTTCAGGGGTCAGAGGTGGAGCAGCAGCTGTCACCCCACTCTCCACCGTGGGAGACCCTTAGAGAGTCAGCAGGGCCTGAGCGGGCAGCAGCCTCAGGGGCTCTTGTCCAGCCCAGAGGGACTCACAAGCCAAGACACGTCCCTCTGCTGCTGTTGAAGAAGAAGGCCTGGACGTGGCGACGGTGGCCAGGGGGAACATGGGAATGCCTCCTGTGCCTGGGGGTGGGCACGGCGGGGTGGGTAGAGGAGTGAGATGCAGCCTGTCGGGGGGTCCCTGCCCTGGGTGGAGGGGGCCCATCCTGATGACCCCACCTGGAGGGAATAAACTTCATGCCAGGTCCCGCCCCAGGGAAGAGCTGGGGAGGTCTCCCTCCCTGCGCCCCGGGGCCCACTTGGCTCACCACTGCCCAGCGTCTGTGCCCTGCCTAGGCTTTAGGGTCTCTTCTTGCCCTGCCACTGCCCTGACCCTACATTGTGCCTCTTCTTTGGTTCTAGACACAGCGTTGTGTAGTGTGTGTGCGTGTGGCTTGTGCGTGTCCCCGTGAGCAGAGGTGCCACCATGACAGGAGGGAGCCCGGGAGGGCCATGGGAGCCTGCAGGACCTGTGTGGGAGGAACAGGGGTCCTGGGTGGGAAGGGGTGCTGGGAGTGCTGAGTGTGCTTGTCTCCTCCTGCCCCATCCTGATACCCCCAGGCTCTGTCACAATCATCCACTAGTGATGGACCCAAGATTTGTTGGGGGTGAGCAGACCTCGAACCCTTCCAGCTGACCTCCAAAAAGGGGGGCCGGAGTGAAAGTAGAATGGGTAGGACTTTTGCCTTGCACATGGCTGACCTTGGTTCAAGCCCTGGCACCCCATATGGTCCCCCCAAGTGCCGCCAAGAGTGATCCTTGGGATGGGGCTGGAGCCATAGCACAGTGGGTAGGGCATTTGCCTTGCACGTGGCCGACCTGTGTTCAATTCCCAGCATCCCATAGGGTCCCCCGAGCACCACCCGAGCACCACCAGGAGTAATTCCTGAGTGCAGAGCCAGGACTAACCTCTGAGCATTGCTGGGTGTGACCCAAACAAGAAAAAAAAAGTGATCCCTGAGATCAGAACCAGGAGTAAGCCCTGATCATCACCAGGGGTGGCCCCCACACCAAAAATGAATAAGAGAAGGACCTTGGGGCTGGAAAGATAGTAGAGGGAGGGGTTGAGGTGTTTGTCCTGCATGAGGCTCACCCTGCTTCAATCCCTGGCACTGCATGGCCCCCTGGAGTGACCTCCAAGCAAGGAGCAGAGTACCTGCTGGGTATCACAGGATGTGGCCCAACCCTGTGCTCCAAAACAAAAGCCAAGAGAAGGACCGCAGGGAGGAGTGCGAGAGAGAGAATGAGGAATATGGAGGCCAAGTTTTCACTTGAGCCAGGGGGACAGGAATAATGACAACAAAATGCTTCTTAAGCAGCATTTTGGGGTGCTGGGTGAGAGAGTAAGACCCAACTAGCCACTCAGAGCTGGGAGGGGACTTGGGGGGATCAGGTCCACTCTGCACCCTGCTTTTTATGATGGGAAAATAAAGCCAATAGTCCTCTACTCAGAGCTACTATGCCCCAGAGAATGGGAGTCGGCAGTGTAGTCAAGACCAAGCCTTGACATGGCTCTTGGGACAGAAAAGGCTGGATCCAGGTAAGGAGCAAGGATGGAAGAACAGGGATCTGCAAACTGAGTGCCCAGTGCTGCCCTAACGTGATGGGCATCCTGAGTCAGCTGATCCCTGGGGTTTCCTGAGTCCAGTGAGCACCTGTCCAGGGGCTGCCTCCACCGAGCCAGATAGCCCCCCCCCCCTCAGCCTAGGATTGTGTCAAGCCCTTCCCATTTTTGCCCGGTGCTAAAGAGACACTCCTGGGCCCCACGCAGGCTCCTGACACTCAGAGCAGAGGGTAGAGAGGGGCGAATCTGTGAGCTGAGAAGGGAGCCTGACTGTGGGCTGAAGCTGCTGCCAGCCCTGAGTAGGGCCGGCCCTACCCTGAGGGCCACAGCAGACAGGGGCTGGCAGGAGCTGAGGAGGGCTCCTTCGGGTCCTGTCCTGGCACTTGGGAGCTCTGGGATGGAAGGGGGCAGAGAGAAAGATGGTGCTTGCCTGTGTTTGCAGAGGCCAGGCCCTTCTTCACTCAGGGTGAGGAGGTGGCGGGTTGTGGCCTCCAGGACTCAGAACAGCACATGTGCCCAGTTCCCTCGAGGCCTCAGACTGCAGTTTGTCACCCAGGCCTGTGGCAGAGAATCCCAGCTGCTGTCCTGTCTGTCCTTGGGGGCCCGGGACCTGCTCCACAGTCTCGCCTGTATCTCAGGCTCCCAGCCGTCCCTTCAGCTGTGTTCAAAAGTGTCCTCAGGGGCGCAGAGAATACAGCACCTGGTAGGGTGCTTGCCTTGCAGCAGCTGACCCCGGTTCAATCTCCGGCACTCTGGATAGTCCCCTGAGTTTTTCCAAGAATGATCTCTGAGCATAGAGCCAGAAGAAAGCCCTGAACACAGCTGGGTGTGACCCCCCGCCCCACCCCATCACACCACCACACTCCTGCCTTCCTGCAGCAAAAACAAAAAACACCCCTTAAAACAAATGTCCCTCTGTCTGCTTCATCCCACCTTCCAAGCAAGCCTCCCAGGGGTGACACAGACTCCTCACAGGACCTGGGTCCCTGAGCCTGGTGAGGACGGCTGACTTCAGGGTGGCTGACTCTCCCCGGGAAGTTCCTTGGTGCCCCCGCCCCCAGCACCCTGCCTGCAGTGCTGCAGATCTCTCCTTCCTCATCCATCTCTCTGCCCCCACACCACACCCACTGGGACAGGCAGGCTCTGGGGGGAGGGATGCCCTCTGCCCACTAGATCCAGAAAGCCGGGGATCCCCACCTAGCAGCTGTCCACGCCTGCTTGTCCATCACCAGAGGAGTCACAGAGCCTGGGGGTATCTCATTTGAATGGCACCGTGCATTGCTCATTGTCTAATTGGGGGAGGCTCCCCAGTGAGGCTCCCTGGCCAGCTAACAGGACTCTCAGCTTCCCTGGGAACCATTCTTGCCCAGAGAATTAGGGGCATCACTGCTCACCGCGCCCAGACCTTCCCTCCTAGTGTCCAGTTGCGCATCTGCAAATGCTATAGATTTCCGGGTGCAGTGAAGCCCTTCCTTTCCTGGCATCATCGGTGTGGCTTTGTGGTGCTGGCCGGGAAGCACCCCCACTCCTCTGCCTTAAAATAGTGCCCACGCCAACCCCCTGCCACCCCCCCAGGACTTGAGTAAGTGGAAAATCGAAACAAAACACGAGCTGCAATGTTTGTTTCTAAATATTTTTGTATTGTGTACATTCTGTATATTTTTGTTGTAACATATTATTTGAGCACAGATTCCATTAAAGATTTTTTTTAAACCATCGTTTTCCGGAAGTGACTGGAAAGGCTGGGGTCCTCTTCCTCATGGCAGGGGTATGGAGGGGAGAGCAGAAGCGCTTTTGTTTGTGCAGTTCAGAGAGGGGCACTGCACTGTGCTCCAGCCAGGATTTCTAGATGAGTGGTTCTCAATCTTTCTTGAGCCACTGCTCTGCTTAGTTTATATTAACTAACTGGGGGTGTTGCCTTGACCACACCCAACAGTGTTCAGAGGCTACTCTTGGTATGGTGTTTCCAGTGATGCCCAGGAACCATGATGTGCCAGGACTTAAATTGTGTCTCCAGTATGCAAAGTGCGCATACCCACCTTGGTGCTATTTTCCTGACCCTCACTGTTTAATTCAGTGGTAGATGAAACTGATGTTTCTCTTCCCATAAAAATAGAGCCAAGATAAATACCAGGAAGTTTACTCCATCGCCTGGAGGCGAGCCGCACACTCCAGGGGTAAAGGCAGCTCAGATAGAGAAGGGAGCACCAAATAAAGGGTGTTGGGAAGATCTGCCCAGTATGGAAGATGCATGCTGAAAGTAGACTATAGACCGAACATGATTGCCACTCAATTCCTCTTTTGCAAACCACAGCACCCGAAAGGAGAGAGAGAACAAAAGGGAGTGCCCTGCCACAGAGGCTGGGAGGGATGGGGGGGATGGGGGTGGGAGGGATACTGGGATTAGTGAAGGTGGAGAATGGGCACTGGTGGAGGGATGGGTACTCGATCATTGTATAACTCAAACCCAAGCACAAAAATTTGTAAGTCTACAACTGTACCTCACGGTGTTTCACTAATAAAAATTAAAAAAAAAAAAAGAGACAAAAAGATAGCCCAGAGGGCTAGAACACATGCTTTGCTTGCAGGAGGCCCAGGTTCAGTCCTGTACTGCTTGGTTCTCTCAGAGCCTTCCAGGAATGATGCTCGAGCACCACCAGGTGAGGCCCCGAAACCAAAATAAACAAAAATGTACATATGGACTGGAGAGATTATGCAAAAGTTGTGCACATTCTTCGTAAGCAGGAAGCCCAGGTTCGATCACCAGCACTGCAATATAAACCAACCCCCAAGCATAAAGTCAGGAGTAGTCCTGACTACTACTGAACACCACCAGGCTGACCTCAAAACCAAAAACACACATGTAGGAATAGGCAAGAAGGTTGTTAAGACTAGTGCAAATGTTGGGTTGATGCTTTTGGTTTGGGGTCACACCCAGCAGTGCTCAGGGCTTCCTCCTGGCTCTGCACTCAGGGATCACTCCTGGCAATGCAGGGAGACCATATGGGATGCTGGGGATTGAACCCTGGTCAGCCGCATGCAAGGCAAGTACCTGGTTATACGCTCTCCAGTCCCTAGTGCACAATGTTTTACATGCTAGATGCCTGGGTTTAATTCCAACTATCTCTCCCGTGAGTACTGCTGGGGA